CGAGAGAGAGAGAGAGAGAGAGAGAGAGAGAGAGAGAGAGAGAAGGAGAGAGAGAGAGAGGTGTTGAGAAAGCAGGTGGGAATTAAATCGGAGACGAATAGAAAACAAAAGAAGACGAGGATATTATAAAATTGTCACCTGGTCTCTTAATTACTAGCTGAATGGAAGTGATAGGTATAATTACTTTTTAAAAAAGGGGGAAGGAATCGAGGTCAAATTATTTAGCAGGGTTCTAGAAGGTCTAGATGCCATAAGCTCTTTCCCCAATGTAGGTTGAAAATGCCATAATATCCTAGCTTCTAACTTCAGGTCCCGTGCTTTTATCCATCTAGGCCAGCTCTCTGAGCTACTAGAGTTGTAGAAGGTCTACCGTAATTCCTAGCTTTAAGCTTCAGGTCTAGTTCTGCGAGCCAGAAAGTCAAAAACTGCGTTGATCCTAGCTTCAAAGCTTAGATCCTATGTTTTTAGCTGGCTAGCTCTTCCTATTAATTCCCAATACCATTTGTCTTCTCTCTGTTATGCTAATGACTTCTTGTCATTGCGTAATTCTTTGATTTAGCACCCCCCCCCCCCTATGTCCCATCTGGAGCCTCCTAACAACATGATTTAGCGGATTAGGCTAGTTCCATTTTGGAAATCCTGAAAAATTAAAAATCCTGTAAAGCTCAAGGTCCGGCCAGAGGTACCAGGTGCGTCTTGCGTAAGCCTATGATGCAACTAACTGTAGACATTATGGCTAAGTTAGGATATCCCTAGGTACTGTAGTTCAAGAGATACAAGCTTTCAATTATTTCAAGAATCCTTGGAGCTCGAAAAATCACTAAAAGCGAACCAGCTTGAGCTAAGATACAGAGAGACGCAGACACTCTCGTTTCTCTGCGCTCTCGCCAAACTTCAAAGGAGCATAACCCGTTTCGAAATTTAGCTACCAAATTACTTTTTGGCAAGTTTTGTAGGAAATTTTAAGGGAATCAGAATGATATAACATTTGACAATAAAGTTATCGAAATGAATGGAGAATTTTACTTCTTGGACATGTCCTTGCCCATCTACATGTCTAGAGGTCATATCACCACTCAGGTTGGATAGAGAAATTGTTTTGTCAGGTCTAAAAAGTCAAAAAATGTATTTTCAAACTCTCCAAGTTTTCTCCTTTAAAACAAACTAAAAAACACCAAAAACTGGCCATTTTGAGCTGAGATACAGTTAAAGGGTAGAGACGCAGACACTCTCGTTTCTCTGCGCTCTCGCAAAACTTTAAAGGCGCATAACTCGCTTCAAAATTCAGCTTGAAAATCACTTTTTAGCTAGTTTTGTAGGAAATTTTAAGAAGATCAGACTGATATACAATTTGATTAAAAAGTTATTAAAGTGAACCTATTTTTCTTGGTTACTGGTTTGATGGGCGGTTGCCATGAGCATGCCGTACCGCCAATTTTAAGCCTATATATCTCGCTTTCTGTAAAAGATGTCAAAAAGTGATTCAATAATGAAATGTAGCTCAAACTATGATAAACATTTTGTCAGTTGTCCACTTTTTGATATCTTTGACAGGAACCAAGATAACAGGGCACACAATTTTGGGTGGCGTTCTATTAGAATGTTCAGATCATCGGATCACTACTACTATCCCCTTATCCCTTCCGGAATCTGCCAGTTTATTTGTGTACAACAACATCAAGAGTGTCTTGTGTGTACTACAATTTGTCCCCCCTTCCTTCTCAACACCTGCAACATCATTTGATCATTCACTCTCAATTGCTCCATCTACTCCTCCTCCTCTTTTCTTCAATCGCACCCATTCAGATGGGAGGAAACACCATCTGTCTTGTATTCGCCTTTTTTTGTGATGAGTGATGTTGTTGAAAAACATGCTTGGGAGGTCTTTTTCACAATATACTCTGAATACCGTAAAACCTCTAATAGAACGACACCCGGATCGTCCACTTTGAGCCTATTTATCTCACTTCTTTGAAAAGATATCAAAAAGTGGTTAACTAGTAAAATGTTTATCAAGATATCAGCAAAATTTTACTATTTAGCCACTTTTTGATATCTTTCACAGAAAATGAGATATATAGGCTCAAAGTGGACGATCCGGGTGTCGTTCTATTAGAGGTTTTACGGTAGCTAGAAATTTTGATATACCGTATTTTGCATAGAAGCTCTGTATACGCATTTCGAGCTCAATTATCTCGGTTCTTATGAGAGATATAAAAAAATTTGGCAACTGATAAATTATTTATCATAACGTCAGCAACATTTTAACAGTTGACAAATTTTTGATATCTTTTACAGAAAATGAGATATATGAGCTCAAAGTTGAAGGTTAGGGGGGGGGGGGGGTCATTATAGCCATGCCACCCTATGCTCACATTTTGAGCCTATATATCTCATTTCCTGTAAAAGATATCAAAATTTTATCAATTGATAAAATATTGCTGATATCATGATAAACATTTCATCAGTTGACAGCTTTTTGATATCTCTTATAGAAACCGAGATAAATTGGCTCAAAGGAAGATGCGCTCTACCGACAACATGAGGTGGCGCTCCCTTCAGCGTCTACTTTGATCACATTTATCTCGGTTTCTGTGAAAGATATCAAAATACAGCCAACTAATAAAATATTAGTTTTAAAGTTTCCAATATTTTATCAATTACCCACTTTTTGATATCTTTAATAGCAACTGAGATAAATTTACTTACAGTTGGGGGGGGGGGGTCTAGGTCTAAAAACTGCAACTTTCTATGAATGATGGCTTTTCAAGCGATTTTTCTAATCCCAAAACGTTTATACCTCTCAATCTCTAATTCTCTCTTCTCTCTCGTTTTCTATCTCTCACCTCTCTCCCGTGAGGCAGTCTTCGGGACCATCTGTTGCCATGCTCTTCCGCCTGCTCTCCCCTCCTCCCTTGTTTTTTATTCCCTCCAAGTGTATCATATTACACCCAGACACCCCTGACATTCATATTAACACCTTTTTACCCATATCAAAGAACCTAAACACTTGGAACGAGAATAAAGGGGGCGTGGCCTAGAGGAAGGCGAAGGCTCCGCCCACTTTTCCGCATGTGTACTCGCTTCTCATCTCGTTTCTTCTTCTCCCTTTCTTCTTTTTCCTATAGATGTCAACCTTTTTTGAGTGGCTTTGAGAGTTCATAAGCTAGCCTAGGCTATCTATATAAAGCCATTTTTGCCCAACTTTACCCAACTTCACCCAATCATGCCCAACTTTGCCCAACTTTGCTCAATTTCACTCAACTTTGCCCAATTTTGCCTAATTTTGCATAACTTTACCCATTTTTTCCCATTTTTTCCCAACTTTGCCCATTTTTGGTCTTTTTTGCCCATTTTTCCCCAACTTTGCCTATTTTCACCCATTTTTGCCCAATTTTGCCCAACTTTACGCAGCCTTGCCCAATTTTGCCTAATTTTGGATAACTTCACCCAACTTCATCCAACTTTGCTCAACTTTACCCAACTTTGCCCAGTTTTGCCCAACACTTGCCCAATAATCTATTTTCCAGGTTTTCCATGTAAAAATGCTCATCTGCTCTTCGCTGTTCCTTCTTGTTTTTAGTGGTTTTTTGAACGCCAAACTTTTGAAGAATGGATTTATTGGATCCCCATCGAATAGTCATGATATTAACCCCATTGAAGGTAGGTCGTTTTTTCTTGAAGGAGGTGAGAAATTCGCCTAATGATCGGGGTCTTTTCGCAGTCTCCTCTCATTTCGTAGGACCAAAAAAATGAGATGGAATTGGGGGTGGATGAGTGATGAATGTGACCATTTAACGATTGGTTTATGTTTTCTTCATGAAATTGGAAGACAAGGGGTAGAATCTAAGGTAAAAAGGATGCTAGAACTATTTCTTGGCATTGAAGAATGAAATCGACTTTTTTGATTTTCTGAAAAATTTAAACTTTATTGAATTTAATACCATTCTGACCCCATAGAAATTTCCTACAATTCTTGCTTAAAATCATCTTTCTAGCTAGATTTTAAAGCGAGTTATGCGCCTTTAAACTTTTGGCGAGAGCGCAGAGAAGCGAGAGTGTCTGCGTCTCTCCCCTGTATCTCAGCTCAAAATGGTCCGTTTTTAATGATTTTTAGTTTGTATTAAAGGCAAAGTTTTAGAGAATTTCAAATCATTCAGATTGAGGTTCCTGGTTCCCTACTTCTAAAGGTACCGTACCCCATCCATCCAAATGTTTATATTTATATTTACCCATTCTCTTTGGAACCCATTTGCTTATCCCTTCCTCGAAACTTGTCATCATCATGTCGTGACCCATAAGAGCTGCCCTAGATAGAGACATTTTGTTTATAACATACTCCCTCTCTCTCTCTCTCTCACCACTTAATGATGCTTATTACGCCTTCTGCTGCTATGCATCCGGGGGGTTAGAAACGTCTGTTGCCCTTCGGGTAGGCTCACTTTATACAATTATAGAATTACGTTGCGGACGGAGCATTTGTGGGCAGAAAGGGAACATAGTTGCTAATGGAGACATTTCCTCCAGGGCGGGGGTCTAGGAAATGGGGAAGTTGCTAGAGTTGCTGGATAGAAAAAAGTTACTTCCAACTTTCAGCCAGTTTATCTAGGTTACTGTAACAGGTATCAAAAAGTGGCCAACTAGTAAAATACTCTTCAGTTTATGATAAACATTTTGTTAATTAACCGCGTTTTGATATCTATGATGGTAACCGAGATAATTAAGCTCAAAGTTAACAGTCTGAAAAAAAAACCTTGTTATTCGAGATTTTGGGTTCCAGCTCATCAATTTTAATAACTTTTCAATCAAAATTTATATGATTCTGACCCATTCAAAATTTCCTTTAAAACTAATCAAAACCCAACTTTCTAGCTATATCTCGAAGCGAGTTACGCGCCTTTAAAGTTTGGCGAGAGCGCAGAGAAACGAGAGTGTCTGCGTCTCTGCCTTATCTCAGCTCAAAATGGCCCGTTTTCAATGATTTCCGGTTTGTTTTAAAGTGAAAAGCTAGGAGAATTCGGAAATACAAAGTTTAGTTTGCTATGCAAATGCGCTCTACTGACAAAGTTCACTTAAGATTGTCAGAAATCATAATCAGTCAATTTGCTCAGCTAGACAACATCACTTAACTATGAGTGGGCCAAACTTCAAACCTATAGCTTCCATTCCATTCGTAATAACCGCTGTCGCTCATTTGACATTTCGTTCCATTTATTTTTTCGAAAAAAAAATCCGCTCTCTTCTCTCTCTCTCCTGGCTCTGTCAATTGACACACACAGCCATTAGCCTCCCTCTCTCTCTCTCTCTCGCTCATGACCACGTAAAACCGCCCGTTTGAAGAGATGATAATGTTGCTCCAGGAGCAGAAGGCTCTCTTGTTTTACACATCTCGACACGCAAGGGGGGTGAAAAAGAGAGGGGAGAACTTTTTTGAGAGAGAGAGAGAGGGCGGATGTTATGAAACAGGGAGGAAGAGGAGTACGGGAGGTTTCAAAAGTTAGGATTACTCATAAGGGAAATTCTCCAGGTTTTTCCCTTTAAAACAAACAAAAAATCATTAAAAACGAAGCATTTTGAGCTGAGATACAGTTAAAGAGAAGAGACGCAGACACTCTCGTTTCTCTGCGCTCTCGCAAACTTTAAAGGCGCATAACTCGCTTCAATCTTAAGCTAGAACGTTGATATTTAGTTAGTTTTGTAGGGAATTTCAAAGGTAACAGAATAATATACAAATCAATAAAGAAATTAATAATTTATACCGGTGTTTCTTGATTTTTGAGAGAGCTTTCGAAAGTGGACATAAAATGGGATATGTGCTTACTTTAAAGGCGCATATCTCAAAAACTAGAAGTGGAATCAAACAGATGTAAACTACAAAATAAATAAAAAAGACAAATTTCCTACACTGTGATAGTAAATTTGTGTTTTTAACTGTACTAGAACTTGAGATATGAACGTTTTTCTGCAAAAATAAGTTTTTTTTTTCAAAATTTCATATCTCAATTTCTACAATAGCTGAAAACATGATTTTTATATTAAAATGTTGGAAATTTTGTGTTCTTTATTTTAATAGTTTGTAATATTTTGATAAATATTATAGTTTTTGAGATATGCGTTTTTCAAGATTAGCCTTCCTGTCCCAAATGGACCACCCAACCTCCCAGCAACTTCCATTCAATTCCAATGCTTGAAATTCGAGTACTTCCATTTTATATTTGGCTTCCCCACACCGGAAAGAGTGTATGTTCCCCCTGAAATGTCTTTGGTTGCTCTTTCCATGAGAGCACACCTGCCTAAGGGGGACCTTGTGTCTATTGTGTGGGAAAAATCGGAACATGTAGCTTTCTGCCTTTTTGAATAAGCAGCAGAAGAAATATATGGAGATTTTGAAAAGGGAAGAGAGAGCGAGAGAGGGATTCTAAGCATAGCGCCTAGTCTAACAGAGTAAGTCTTATCTAGGCTACCGTAACCTGGCTTAAGCCTAATCTAACAGAGTATATCATAGTCTAATAAATCGCAACCTAGTCTAATAGCATTGGTCTTACTTAGGGTACCGTAACCTGGTCTAAGCCTACCCTAATAACATATATCCTAGTCTAATAGATCACTGCCTAGTCTAATAGAGCATAGCTTAGTCCAATAGAGTTGGTCTTATCTAGAATACCGTAACCTGACCTGAGCCTACTCTATTAGAGTATAGCCTTCCCTAATAGAGGATTACCTTGTCTAATAGATCACAAGCTAGTCTAATAGCCTTGGTCTTATTTAGGCTACCGTAATCTGGTCTAAGCCTACCCTAATAGAGTATTACCTACCCTATTAGAGCAAAGCCAATTCTAATAGATCACAGCCTAGTCTAATAGACTTGATCTTATCTGAGCGACCGTGACCTGGCCTAAGCCTAGTCTGATAGATCACAGGCTAGTCTAATAGAACATAACCTAGTCTATTAGAGTTTGTTCTACCTATGCTACCGTAATCTGGTCTAAACCTACCTTAATAGAGCATTATCTACCCTATTAGAGCATATCCTAGTCTAATAGAACCTGTAAAAACATAGTCCAGTCTAGTTGTGTCCATATAGGCTTACTTTAATCTATCCACCTAGCTATCTGGGTTGGTCTAGGCTACAGTAACCTGCTCCTAAGGTTAGCCTAGCCTCTGCCACTTTCTCCACTCATTAGGTATTCCATGACACTTGTACTTCTTGTAATATTCTATACTACATCCCCTATAATATATGCGCATCTATCATCCTTTTCATCTTTCCCTTACCGACAAAATGAGCATAAAAGAGGATCCTTCAAGGGACTAAGAGATTCTCAAAGGAGCGCGTTTCTAATTTCAGCAGTTTCTAATTTGGTTCAAGCCCGACTTGGTAGGTTTTGCATGACTGACTTCCGCTTTTTTGATCCGCTAGTGCCAAATTGAATGACACTAATTGCTAGGTGGAAATGGAAGCGCCAGATGTTCGTGTAGCTGGTTTCGTTTCACTAATTGAAAGCTAACTGACTTGTAAGCGGAGGTACAGTACCCCTCAATAGCGTTTCTCTGCGCTCTCGCCAAACTTTAAAGGCGCATAACTCGCTTCAAAATTTAGCTAGAGAATTGATTGTTTGCTAGTTTTGCAGGGAATTTTAAGGGAATCATAATGATATGCAATTTCAAATGAAAACCAATTCCAAATTATAATAAAAAGGTACAGTATCCCTTATACATAATTCAACAATCGCATCCGAGGTTCCAGGGTGTCCCAACCCACTAAAAACCGAACCAAATTCAAATTTTTGCATAAAAAATTTTAAATTCCAAATCTCCTCCTTTTTTACATCCGAAGGTCACTCACTCTGTTCACACAGGGGACACTAAAAAGAGTGAATTAGTCGGTGTCAATGGTTTTGAGAAGGATAGAAAAAAGAGAGGAAAAGAGGAAGAGGGGGTCATAAAATGGACCCCATAAAGTTTTGGAAAAAAGAGAGGAGTCGCCGTAGTACTTATGTGTATGTGAACGGCTTTTTGCGCTTTTACGGGGAGTGAACCTTTTTGTGATGAGAGAGAAACCGACGAGAATGGGCATAAGGGAATGAACAACACATTTGTTGGCTGAAAGTAGTAATGTTCTGGATGTTTAAATTAAATTTTATATGATTCTAATTCCCTTAAAATTCCCTACAAAACTAGCTAAAAACCGATTCTCTAGCTAAATTTTGAAGCGAGTTATGCGCCTTTAAAGTTTGGCGAGAGCGCAGAGAAACGAGAGTGTCTGCGTCTCTGCCCTGTATCTCAGCTCAAAATGGTCCGTTTGTAATGATTTTTAGTTTGTTTGAAAGGGAAAAACTTGGGAAATTTGAAAAAAAAACAATATTAAAACAAAACATACGAATTTTTTCACCAAAAAAAAATAAAATTTGAGATATCAAATTTTGAAAAATAAAACACATTTTTGCAGAAAAACGTTTATATCTCGAGTTCTAGTACACTAAAAACACAAATTTACTATCAAAATGTAGGAAATTTGTCGGTTTTCATTTTTTTAGTTTACAACTTTTTGATCACTTTTCTAGTTTTTGAAATATGCGCCTTAATATAAGCATAGCCAAAACAAGAGATTGTATTTTGATATCTCTAACAGGAACCAAGATAAATTTGCTTAATTTTAATAAGTTTGTATTAAATTTAATATCATTCTAACTCCCTTAAAATATTTCCTACAAAACTAGCAAAAAAGTAATTTTCTAGCTAAATTTTGAAGCGAGTTATGCGCCTTTAAAGTTTGGCGAGAGCGCAGAGAAACGAGAGTGTCTGCGTCTCTGCCCCGTATCTCAACTCAAAATGGTCCGTTTCAAATGATTTTTAGTTTGTTTGAAAGGGAAAAACTTGGAGAATTCAAAAATAATAGTTTCAAAAAATGAAGAATAGTACTTTTGTATGTGAACGGCCTTTTCTCGCTTTTACGGGGAATGAACCTTGAGAAACCGAATGGGCAGGGAAATGAATGGCTTGGAATGTTCTAGAATGGCTGAAACAAGACTCGAAAAATTAATTTATGAATTTCCAGGAATCCTGAAAGAGTCACTTCGATCCAACCGAGTACAGGCTTGCGATGGGGAGAGGATCACGTTGAGCTGCCCCAGAAATACCCAGATTTCGGTTCAAACTGGGTACGTCTAAACATTAATTGGTGTTACTGTACCCATAAAACCAAGAAAATTCCAGATTCTATGGTCGTGTGGTGCCAGAGAATCAATTGTGTCCCCCACAACCTGGCCGGAAGATTCCAGAAGCGCTTTCAGATCCCTTAGCTCTCATCCACCATTCCAGCACTTGTGATGTCATTCAAGCGCATACGGTAAGGTTAAGCTCAATTATCTCAATTGCTATGCAAAATATCAAGAATGTGTCAACTTATAAAATGTTGCTGATATTATGATAAACAATTTTTCAGTTGACAAATTTTTGATATCTTTTACAGGAAATGAGATAAATTAGCTCAAAGTTAAAAGTTAGTTTTTCTATTCCAGAGAATCTCGGAACTCTGCGACAAACGCCGAAAGTGTACAGTAGTCGTGGATTCGAATACATTTGAAGATGATCCATGTCCAATGACATCTAAATATCTTCAAATGGCATATGGATGTATTCCGATGTCGTTCGATGAGGAGACGTTCTGCACACCGAAGCCCACGGAACCATCTCGTCCAGAAATTCGTCTAGAGTGTCGGGAAGGAAGACGTCTGGCTGTGTATTCCGCACAAATGAAGACGTCGCCACAGTGTGACCCAGACACTGAGATTAGGCATGGTAAGGGTTTGAAGCGAAACCTCTAATAGAGTTGCAACTATGGTCTTTGACCACACAATTTATCGCAATTCCTATTAGAGAGAAATATCAATTCGTTTCAATAATTTTGATATCAATTTTATATTATTTTGATTCCCATAAAATTTTCTACAAAACTAGCAAAAAAGTAATTTTCTAGCTAAATTTTGAAGCGAGTTATGCGCCTTTAAAGTTTGGCGAGAGCGCAGAGAAACGAGAGTGTCTGTGTCTTTCCCCCCGTATCTCAGCTCAAAATGGTCCGTTTAGAATGATTTTCAGTGTGTTTTAAAGGGGAAAACTTGGAGATTTTGATAAAACAAATTTTAGTTTCAAAAAACTAGAATTTTGCACCAACATGTTCCTTTCAAAGTATTTATATATAATTTCACAATTTTTTGATATCTTCAAAATTGACCGAGATAAATCAGCTCGTTTTAGAAATTTTGATATTACTTCTCATATCATTGTGACCCTCTTGAAATTTTCTACAAAACTAGCAAAAAAGTAATTTTCTAGCTAAATTTTGAAGCGAGTTATGCGCCTTTAAAGTTTGGCGAGAGCGCAGAGAAACGAGAGTGTCTGCGTCTCTGCCCCGTATCTCAACTCAAAATGGTCCGTTTTTAGTAATTTTTAGTTCATTTTAAAGGGGAAAACTAGGAGAATTCAATAGTAAAGGTTTCTGGTCCCTTACTTTGTATCTTGTTACTTTTCTAGGTTAAAAATTGGTTTAAGTTCAAACCGACAAACTCAATTTCGCAACATTTCCCATTTTCTGGCCCTCTCTTTTGTTCCAGAACATCGGGGTTGATGACAAGAGGAGACAACACATTCAATTAGCCATCTTCTTTCGATCCTATTCTATTCTTTGGGTCCCATTGAGCCAATGAGAGACGCAGACAGCTTTAGAAGACAATTGTCTTCTTCTGAATCCCTCTTTTCCAATGAAAATGGGAACGAGAAGAAGAACCGGAATCCCTTTCGGGCTCTAGAATACTAAAGTAGGATTTCCGAGTAGTCAAGAAATTGAAAAAGGGACTGAATCTTCCAGAAACGTTGATTATTTTTTCTCCAGAATGCGTCTCGGATGTTCTACCACAAGTTCTTCGTCAGTGTCATGCCAAAGAGGGGTGCACGCTGAAAAGTGAGGAAATCAAGGGACACTGTAGACACGGACACCTTCATGTGGTGTATGTATGTGTTAATGAAGAGATATTCTCGGAAGAAGCCATTAAAGGAGAGTTGACGACACTGGATGCGTATTTGAAGGTAGGAAATGGGCTCTAAAAAGCGAAAAACATATGATACTGTGGTTTGAAAAGAAGCAAAAAGAGATTGGCGCTAGGGGGAATTGAACTTGCGAGGGTCAGATCCAAAATCAAAAGCGTTAGCCGTTGCGCCACTTGGTGCATAGGTGGAAAAAGTGGTGGTAAGCGTACACAAGGGGGTGGTGCGGCGCTCGCCGCCTTTAATAGAATCCTACCCAACTCGTCAAACACTTGAGCTCCATTATCTCGCTCCCTATGAAAGATATCAAAAAGTGGTCAACTGATAAAATGTTTATCATAACATCAGCAATATTTTATCAGTTATCAAAATTTTGATATCTTTTAAAGCAACCGAGATAATTGAGATCGAAGTGTCTAAATCACTATTCAGCTAATAAGCTTCATCTTCCAGGAAGCAGATGCACTTCAAAAGCAAGAAGACGAGCGATTCTTTAAGGATGTGAATGACAAAACTCAATGGGAACAAGTTGTAGACAGCGAGCCGGCTAGGGATCCAGACGTACATCAGATTGCTAATGATGGTAAGGAACCGGAGAAAAAAGTTTAATTCCAATAATTTTGATATCAATTCTTATATTATTTTGATTCCCTTAAAATTTTCTACAAAACTAGGAAAAAAGTGATTTTCAAGCTAAATTTTGAAGCGAGTTATGCCCCTTTAAAGTTTTGCGAGAGCGCAGAGAAACGAGAGTGTCTGCGTCTCTCCCCTTCTCAGTGATCCGTTTTTAGTGATTTTATCTTGTTTTGAAACAGGGAATTTGAAAATACATATGCCTATCGATTTTTATACCCCCTTGAAATTTCCTACAAAACTAGCCAAAAGGGGGCATCTAGTTTTTTAAAGTGGAAAATAGCCAACTTTAGATGGTCGAAAAAATACAGTAGAACTTGTTGGATAAGCCTGAAAATTTCAGAGTGTACTAAACGAAAATAGAGCTTTAATTTTGTAGTTGACAACTTTTTCGAAAAATCGAGTCCTGCGGAGATATGCCACGTGGAAGAGGACATACCTTGAGGCGCGCCCAGCGAGCAGGCGTCAAAAAGGAGGGGCGCTTCCACGTGGCATATCTCTCCAGGACCTGATTTTTCGAAAAAGTTGTCAACTACAAAATTGAAGCCCTATGTTTGTTTAGTATACTCTAAAATTTTTAGTACCATACAACAAAAACGGGTACCGTATTCAGGCGTATGCCAGTTAGGATATCTGAGATAGCCAATGATGATAAGCAAACATGCACCCTAACTTTGATCCCTTATATCTCATTTCCTATGAAAGATATCAAAAAGTGCTCAACTGATAAATTACTTATCATAATATCAGCAATACTTTACTAATTGATTGTTTTTTGACATCTCTTATAGGGATCAAGATAAAAGAGATTAAAGATAAGTGCACCTGACACCGCCCATAGCGTCTATTTGACCTAATTTATCTCATTTCCTGGAAGAGATATCAAAAAGTGGTAAACTGACAAAATGTTTATCATAATATCAGCAACATTTTACTAGTTGACTATTTTTTGATATCTCTCAAAAAGGCCGAGATAAATTAGCTGAAAGTTGACAATTCTCTATCCTCCAAGTCCAAGGCTGATCCTCCAAGTTAACCGTTTTATACCGAACAACCACCGAATTTTCCCCAATTTCTAGCATCCTACGTAACCCATGACGAGTACCGAATGGAGAAGCAGGACCCTCCACCGATCACCAAGCGAGTCGAGCCGAATCTCGTCGGCGTCGGACACGACCTGCTCCAAGTTGTTCAATTTTTCAAAGAAAACAAGGAGAAGGCAGTGATGTGTATTGTTTTGGCAGTTAGTATGGCTGCTATCGTGGTCCTTTCGGCGTGTATCATCACAAGACTGTGCACTTCGAACAAGGATCATTCGAGGAGTTCGAGAAGATCCAGAAGTCGAAGATCTTTGGAGACTAGCAAATTGGTTTCTTCTAATTGTGAGTTTTTATTGCTTCAAAAATGAGGTCTCTAGCTTTTAAACCATGCGAGATATGAACAAAGTGCGATAGAGCGCGCTTGCTACCACAATCTTCGAAGATTAGAAGCTCTATAACTCGCGAAGCATCGAACCGATTTCAATGAAAATTACATAGATGAATAGATAATTTCACATAGGTAATTTTCGCATTTTTAATTTTCCGAAAACTCGAGTTTTAACGTTTTCTGGAGTTTTACAAAGATGGCGACCGCTACGCCGACACGCGCCGCGTCCAAAATTAGCTCAGCAACTTCTATATGCGAAATTTTGATTTTATGTTAATTAACAGTTAATCTGCAAGTTAAATCAAGTCTCTAGTCCTAAAACTAAGCGAGATATGAGAAAAGTGCAGTAGAGCGCGTTTGCCAAAAATTTTGTAAGCGCTATAACTCGAGAACCATTGAACCGATTTCGATGAAAAAAACATAGATAAATAGATAATTTTCGCTATTCAAATTTTCCTAAATTCGAGTTTTAACGTCTTCTGAAGCTTTGCAAAGATGGCGACCGCTGCGCCGACACGCGCCGCGCCTAAAATTGGCTCCGTGCCAAATACAAAATTCAAATTTTACAGACGGCGGCTCGATCACCCCTCAACACATGCTCCAAGACATCGAGGATGAGCAATTCCTGCGATTCTCCATGGGCTCGGCGGCAAATTCAAATCCCCATTACAGCCATTATGACTTCTAACTCTCTCCCTGTATGTTATCTCTCTTGTCCAGTTGATTCACGGGTTCCCCTAGTCACTTTCGATTTTCAATAAATGTTTATTTTAAAAATCACACATGCTTTATATCATTCTAAAAAATTTAATCATCGAGTACTTGAACCCAATCGCCAACAGTCGAGTTCACTGGCAGTGGCTCTGGGACAATTCCAGCGTAGTTGTCCAGTGAAAGATCCAAGACGAGTCTCGCCGCATGCACAGCGCTACCGTATCCCAGTGTGAAGCCGTTGCCACCATGACCATAGTTATGGACGACCTGAAATGATGACCTAGCTTTTTGAGGGATTCTAGGTCAGCTCCCTACCGTAAACTTCTTCTGTCCATAGGCCTCGCGAATCTGCTTCTCCACACGGACTTGTTTGCGGCCTGGGCGGTAGCCAACGAAGCTGGAGAGCATGTGGACCCTCTGGAAAGTTTTAGATTGGTGATTTTAAAAGGGAGAACGGGCTTGAGGAACCTTAAAGGACGGCTGAAGCTGTACATATCGGCTAGTAATGTCCTGGATATCGTTGAATGTCACATTGTTCGGACCATAGGCGCCTTCTTGTTTCACAGTTCCCATGTAGACAGAGTCGATGCTGAAAAAAAAAATGAAATTTTTAGAAAAATTGTTTTTAAAGGTGTTGTGCGGAAGTGCACGAAATTCGACTTTTTATCAATTTTCAGTCCTTTTTTGGAATTCCAGATTTTCAGAAAAATCTGAAAACAGGATAAAAATGGTTTTTGACACTTTTTTGGTCGCCAAAACGACCCAAAACCTATGAAAAACGATGAAAGTCGCGAAAAAACGAGGTTTTCAAAAAATTGCACGAATGGACTAGTGGGTTTTTGGACACATACGAATCTCAACACCAGGGTTCGATTCCACTCGACGCCAAACGCTTTTTGCTTTTGTGCTGAGCATGATTTAGTGGTTCTAGACGCGCCTAAATGTCATTTTCAGATTTTCAGAAAAATCTGAAATTCCAAAAAACACTGAACATTGATGAAAATTCTAACTCCGCACGCATTTTCTCCGCTGATCAATGAGAAAAACGCATCTGGTGGCCGAGTGGGGGTTTTCTAGGCCATCTGCGAAGAAAAAGGACGCGAAATTCGAATTTTTGTCGATTTTCATAGTTTTTTGGAATTTCAGAATTTTAGAAAAATCTGAAAATGAAGCATTTTGGCGCGTCTAGAACCACTAAAACATGCTCAGCACAAAACCAAAAAAGCTTAGGTGTCGAGTGGAATCGAACCTTGGTGTTGAGATTCGTGCCCAAAAACCCACTAGGCCATCCGTGCAATTTTTTTTTGAAAAACTCGTTTTTTCGCGATTTTCATCGTTTTTTCTAGGTTTAGTTTCTAAAAATTCCAAATTTCAAAACTCACACAGGAATAGTGATTGTCGAAAAGTCCCTATACAAGAAATGCTTGTGCCATGGAGCATCCACCCGAATGAGCACCCCACGAATCGGCGTCATGTTCCCAGCGTCATCTCCAGCGAGAACACCTCCAAACAGTCCTGCCGCATTGACAACCACATCAAACTCGGCGCCAAGCTCCTCCAGATTCTCAATTCGTCTCTGAGTGAACCGCACACCCTTCGCCATTAGCTCCTTTTTCAAAAACGGGCAGAATCGAAGGCCTTCTGAAGTGTATGCCGTGTAGTGAATCCCATGCGTCGTCGTGTTTCTGGGCAGGTCGAACAACGAAGTAGGACCGAATAACTCGGGTTCAGTGAGATCTCGATAGTTGTAGACTAGCGATCCATAAGCGACACGTTGAGAATCCAATTTGGCCTTTGAATCCGACAAAATGTGGCCGGAGACGAGTTGAACACCGCTGAGACCTCCGTACTCTCGCCAGAGCGTCGCGAGCTTCTCAAAAGTGTCATACCCGTATTTTTTGTTAATTTCCGAGCCGCTATCGATGCGGAACAGACCGGCGATGTGGCGACTTAGGATCTTTTCGAATGGCTTGTGATGGAAGATTTGGATGTCCTGGAAACAGAAATTTCAAGGACAATTGGTTTCTTCTGTATTTTTTAATGATTTTCATCTAAAACCCGGGTATTTTTAACCAATTTCAGTGCGATTTCAAGCTAGAAAATAGGCCAAACATGGAAAAATTTAGAATTGTTGTTTTTTATGGGAAAAAAGTTTTTTTTTAAAATAAAGTTTTACCTAAAAACTGAGTATTTTGAACCAATTTTTCTGAGAGAATAGGCAAACATTTTCGCGCTTTTTTAGGGAAAATTAGTGAGTGTCTTGACAATTAAAAAACCTATTTTTCTGTGTTTTTCATAGATTTTTACCTAATTTCAGGGTAATTTCAAGCTAGACAATAGGCAAAAAATCAGAATTTTAAGGGAAAATTAGTGGTTTGACAATTAAAAAAACCTATTTTACTGTATTTTTTCTAGATTTTTACCTAAAAACCGAGTGTTTTTTAACCAAATTTTTCGAGAAAATAGGCGTGAAAAAAAATTCCTTTTCCGACGATTTCGCGTCGAAACCCATCCTCTTTGAAGCATGTTCCTTTAAAGGAGCATGCTCCGCCGAGGTTGGGTTTCGACACGATATCGTCGATATCGCGCGAAAATTCGCCTAAAATTTTCAGAAAACTCCGTTTTTTGAAGCAAGAAACGCCGAAAAGATTTTTAGATGAAAAAATAGCTTTAAAACCCAAAAATCGCGTAATCAGGTTTAGAAGCGAAAAAAAAACCTATTTTGGCTGATAAAACGCCCAAAAAGCCTAAAAATTGCTTGATTTTTGTTTTTTAGGAGCAATTTTGAGCTGATAAAAAACAGGTTAAACCTAAATAAAAGCTAGAAATATGTATTTTCACCAAATTTTCTCTTTTTTGAAGCCGAAAAATGCCTGAAAACCCCTAAAAATTCATCGAAAAAATGCCGAATTTTTTTTCAGTTTTCCTGCTGTTTTAACCTGTGAAATTCAAAGAAAATTCGAAAAATTCCCTCACCGGCGCCGTGATATTCTCCTTCTCGGCCAAATCCAGAATCGCTGTCGCCGTGCTCAGCCCGATGACGCCTTCACCAACGACGGCGACGCGTAGAGAGTTTACTAGATTTTTTTTTTGTATAATTTTCGCCAGAAAATGTTATATATTACCTGCAAAAACTCCTCCGAGAAAGAGGAGAAGAAGGCGGAGCATCCTAAAATCGGAAAAAGTGAAAAAAGAAGAAAAAAGGATGACACTAGAGGTTTTTGTTAGCTAATGTGGCGCGAAAAATCTAGGCCGGTAGATCAAAAATAATTTTTGACTTAAAAAAATTAAAAAGAAGAAGTTTCTAGATCTAAATTTTTTGTTTGTTTTTTTCATGGAATTTCAGAGCCTTCTGTACACATAGCTTTATTTACAAAATTCAACTTCAAAATCAATCGAGAAGCTTCTGCTTCTGGTTGGCAGGGAGGATGACAAGAAACAGATTATAGGGGGTGGTAATTGTAGAGTGAGAGAAGCGAAGGGAAAAAAAAATATAAGATGGCGAATATAATGAGTGAGGGGTGGGTGGGATTTTTATTAGCTTTTCCTTGGTTGTGGCGCTGGATGAGTATACAGAAGGCGAAGAAGGATTACACACTGTCGTCTGAAAATTCAGAATTTGAGGGGGTCTTCTTAGTTTGAGCCTCTAATTTGCACAAACTATCTATACAGTATGCAAGATCGTATTTTAAAATCTATAAAGCTGTTTTCCAAATCTGCTTAAGAAGCCTCTAAAGTGCTGAAATTTCAGTTTTAGTAAAAATTTAAAAAATCATGTTTTCAGTGTAAAATCGGCTTCAAATTTGATTTTCTCTCACTCCTAGGAGGTTTCAGGACTTGAAATTCCTTTTTTGTGTTATACTTAAAATTAAGTAGAATTTAATATTTTTCCACATTATTTTAAATATAACAAAAAAAAGAAATTTCAAGTCCTAAAACCTCCTAGATGTGGAGAAAATCAAATTTGAAGCCGATTTTAAACTGAAAGTGTTTTTTTTTTGGTTTTTGACTGAAACTGAAATTTCAGCACTTCAGAAGTGTCTTTGGCAGATTTTGAAAACGGATTCATAGGTTTTAAAAGACGATCTTTCATCCTGTAAAGTTAGTTTGTGCAAATTAGAGGGTCAAATTCGAAGATTCCAGAATTTTCATCCTGAAAAGGATTCCTTACCATGGAACCACCAGCGAGTCTTACTCGGATTCTTATTGCACGTTCTCACATAGATCGCGTCGTCGATCGGATGCTTCTTCTCTTTTGACGATGAGAGCATCGAGAGAATCGAAAGGCACACTGATTGGACGCTGAGGGCTGGCGTCCAATCGTCAGATAGAATCGATAGACAGATATGACCGTTTGAGTAGATGTGCGGGTGCGCGGGGATGGTGTCGCCGACGAACATGACCTAGAAATTTCAATTTCGGAGGGTTACTGTAGTCAAAGGTACTCAATTGTGCGTGAGGGTGTGTTGTACAAACCTCTGGCGAATTAAACGGGTACTGTGGTCCGAATGTGAATTGCAAGGTGAACACCTCGCCGGCATACAACGTTCCCTCGGCGCCCACCACTCCGATTTTCCATTGCTTCAAATCATGACTCGTTATGGTGTTGTCGATGAGCAGTCCGGCTGGATTTTCAGTTTTCAACTGATTCAGCTCCTTCATGAGCCGTCGCGCCGCTGCATCTGACATTTTCTGAGTCTGGAACGGACAATTTTGGGGATTTTAAGGGGAAAATAGGGAAAAATAAAGAACGCATTACTTGAGATTTTTTTGAGCAATTATTTGAAAATAGAGAGACTACAAACTACAAAAGTTGTTTCTAAGCCTCAGTGAAAACTTCAAATGCGACAAATTATGAGCTAAAAATCGTCAAAAACGGTGTAAAATGAGCCAAGTTACAGCGATTTCCAATTTTCCTGAGGCTTAGAAACTTTTGTAGTTTGTAGTCACTTAGTCTCAGGAAAACTTCAAAGCGCTATAAATGAGTTAAAAATCGTCAGTTTTTAATGAATATTTTTTGTAGTTACTTAGTAGACTACAAACTACAAAAGCAACAGAAAACTTCGAGTCAAAAATCGCCGAAAGCAGCGATTTTCAATTTTTACTGAGGCTTAGAGAATTCTGTAGTTTGTAGTGGCAAAATTTTCTAGTTTCGCACTAAAAATTATTTTAAAAAACGGATAAAAATGAGAGAACTGGCAGCGATTTACTGAGGCCAAGCGGCTACAAACTACAAAAACTCCTAAGCCTCAGTAAAAAAACTTCAAATCGCTGCAACTCGGCTCATTTTCGACCGTGTTTGATAATTTTTAGTGCAAACTTTGTGATATTTTCCAAACATTTTCCAGCTGAAAAATTTTGCCACTACAAACTACAAAATTCACTAGGCCTCAATAAAAATTGAAAATCGCTATATGACAATTTTTGACTCTAAGTTTTTTGTAGTTTTTGTAGTTTGTAGTCTACTAAGGAACTACAAAAAACATTCCAGAATTTTTGAGCCAAGAATCATTAAAAAAGGATAAAATTGAACCGATTTACAGGGCTTTGAAATTATACTGAGGCTAAGCGGCTACAAACTACAAAAAGTTCTAAGCCTCAGTGAAACTTCAAATCGCAATGCAACTCGGCTCATTTTCGACCTTTTCTTGTGGAAAAAAAATCACAAAAAATCAGAGAATGCGAATTTTAAGGGAAAAAATAGGTAGAAAAAGGCGTTAGAACGCATAATAGACAATTTAATATAGGAAAAAAGCAATTTTAAATCGATTTTTGGGCAATTTACATAGAGAAAATCACAAAAAAAAAGATCGGAAAATGAGATCAAAGTAGAGAATTGGCTTATTTCTTAAGTTCCATTTCGTTTAACTGTCTAGCCAGCAGATTCACAACACTCGGTGGCCCATGTCCTTTCGTCATGTCTCTCAACGTCTTCTGGTTGCCTTCTGAAGACGACGTCGACGGCTTCTCCTCGTCGTCTTCTTTCATTTCCTCATCTTCTTCTGTCTCTTTTTCGACCTCAATCAGCCGGTGCAATGCTCCATTCTGCATTCGGACACGGGTGAGATCTGATGGCGGTGGGGGTGGTGGCAGTTTTCCGGTGATCATTTTGAATTGATCCTCTACCACTTCACGTCCATGGGCCAGGTATTCTCTGGAAGAGAAAACATTGGAAAGTGGCTTGGAAAATCGGATTTTAAGGTCATTTTTGAGCAATTTTAGACCACTTTTGGACCGTTCGAACCGTTTTAAGACAATTTTGGATCTATTCGGAGCATATTGGACAATTTTAAGATAGTTTTGGATCATGTTTAGACCCTTTTCCGATTTCTTCAGACCATTTTTAGATAATTTGGGGACAATTTTAGACTATTTCTGAGCAATTCTAGGCAATTTGAGACCATTTATCGACGGTTTTTTAGGCCACTTTGGACCAATTAAATTTATTTTTGGATTAAATTTCAGACTATTTTAGAGCATTTTTGAAGCTTTTTGCGCCTTTTTTGGACAATTCTGGACCATTTGAGCTCATTTTAAGACCATTTTGGACCGTTTTCAGCCTAATTTTGGCCATTTTCAGACCATTTTAGACGATTTTAGGTCATTTTCTGGCAATTATAGAAAATTTCTGGGTATTTTCAGATAATTCTTAGATCCTTGAGGCTATTTTTCGACCTTTTCAGACCATTTTTAGCTGTTTTTGGACTTGTTTGAACCATTTCTGGACCGTTCTCAATCATTTTTGGGTCATTTTCAAGCTAATTTTGGCCATTTTCAGACCATTTTTGACGATGTTCCGACGAATTCAGCTCATTTTCTGGCAATTATATTTCAGACCCTTTTTGGATTTTGGATTATTTTAGACTATTTAAGACAATTTTTCTTTTCCATTTTGGACTTTTTTGGGCTTTTTCAGACCAATTAAGACTATTTTTAGATTTTTTCAGAACATTTTCGGACCTATTTAGCCTTTAGACCCAAATTACTGTAGATTACTATAGGAAATCTTCTATCTTTTAAGTCCTTCACGTCAAAATGCAGATAAAAACTCTAAAAGGAAATTCGTTCTCTACAGTAATCTACAGTAATCTTTCAAGGAATTTCAGACAATAAATTCGGAAAAATCGAAAAAGAATCTTCAAAAATAGCTGAAAACCCTAAAAAGGTCTGAAAATTCCTGCGAAAAATTGAAGAAAAAAGGATTTTGTCTCTCGAAAAGTTGTCTTTACTGAAGCTAATACACTACAAACTACAAAACATTCCTAAGCCTCAGTAATTTGAAATCTTGGTATTCTCTCGATCAATTTTCAACACCGTTTTCGCTCGTTTTTGTGTCGACTACAAACTACAAAAGTTGCTAAGCCTCAGTAAAAACTTAAAATCGTTTCAGACAGCGATTTTTCTAGATTTTTTTTTTGAACTTTCGCTCTTGTTACATGAATCTAGATCATTTTCTACACATTTTCATGGATTTTCCCGATTTCTGACCTGAAATCATCACAAATCTCGGTGAGCTCATCGATCTGTCGTTCTTGGAGAATCCTGACGCTGTCCCGTGCCTGCACGGGTCGGAATTCATTGATCAAGTGGTGCATATTGATAAAAATCGTGTGCAAATCCACCATTTTCTTATCACGAGCCGGGTGGTCGGGCGCACGGATCAGCACCTCTAGCAGGTCGAAGAACGCGCCGATGACNTCTTTGAAAATCANTATATA